GACCGAGTTAAGTACTTTGGAGTGACTACTAGACCTGAAAAAAAACTCAAATACCTCAAATAACACACATAAATCATACCATCATTAATAAAATTCAATCCGAACCTAGACAACGGATAACCGAGCATTAAGACTCCAAAATAAACAAAATTCAGAATCTGGAGTTAGACTCAACCAATCAACCTGAAACTTTACCACATCACAAGACATACAAAAACACATAATCTCACCAATTTTCAGCCCTAAATTCATCCGGGAGAATTTTTAAATAATTTAAGCAAAAACAGTGTAAAAACCCTACATTAATAGTTCATATAGCTACACTTCGAATTTTAATCCAAACTTTTGACACAATACAGAATTCCACAAAAATAACATACTCCTCAAAATCTCAGCTCAAAACCCTAAGTGTATTATTTTTAATGAATTTTACAAAATTCTAACCAGAAACGAATTTAATTAAATAAAATAGCTACAGATGGAGTTTCGACTTGAAAATGTTAGACGACTTACAAAACCATCACAGTAGACCACATATAAAATTTTACAGCATTCGGACAATCACACGATTTATCATGAATTAATTTCTATTCAGCAGCATACTCGGTTTAGAAAATTCATAAATCGGCATATACACATCGAAACGACCCCAAACCAAAATCAATAACTCAAAGACAACTCCAAGTACCTATAACTCCAGGATTTCCACGAAAAATTCCACTCGAAACTCAGTTCGATAACAACCAAAGTGACAGCAATCACTTTGATATCCAAAACGCATATAAATTCATAATACGGCTCGACAAAAACACGCAAGGCACGTAATCAACTTCATAATTCATACGTTCAACAATTAACATGTAACTAGTGCATAGCCCGTGCGATGCATGAGATACATATAATAAATCAATCATTTCTATAGGACTTGTAGTTTTAGGCGAAAAAAAACGATATACTTGAATCATCCATATTTCACATCTATTAATAAGTGATGTTTATTTTAGCCAGACAATTAACATATTAATTAATGTATTATTTCGCAAATACGTTATACTAATATAAATTTGATTTTAGAATATATATTTTTTCATTGATATAAGAAAAAATAAAAATTTTATTTATTCATGTTCAACATATAATACTCAATTATTATTTTATTATAAAATTTATAGTCATATAATTTCATTATTATTATTTATAAAATTTATAGAAGTAGTCTTCTTCGTACTAATTTATGTAATGAAACTCAAAATAAAATTTTGTGTATAAATATTTACAGAATACACACACATATATTTTAGAATCCAATTTTCTCATAATATTTTTTTTAAGAAAATTGATTTAGCAATTGCCAAAAAATAAATCCCTTACATAATCAAGAGATTTTTTCTAATTTTCATCCTAAGGCTTTATAGTTTATTTAACATACTATGCAATAGAAAAATATTTTACAATTAGTTCATTTTTGAAACATAACAAAAAAAAGTGATAAAAACACTATCATAGTTGACAATAATATACAAATAAATAACATGTCGAAATTTTAAAGAATAACTAATATAATTTTATTATCTAACCATCAATAAAATCATTTAATGATGTGATCATTATCTTTTAAATGATAAATAATATTAATTTTTTTAAAAAATATTAATTTTATATAATTAAATAAAGGTTAAAAAATATTACTCGACAAATATTAATTATAATAGATATCATTAAAATAATTGCATAAATTATTTAAGGAAAAAATCTTTAATATCATATCTGGATAGTAAATGTAAATATGCAAGAATTTAATGCATATACTAAAAAATTTCCAAATAAGGTTTGCATTAAATGTGTTTTGACTTTTCTTGCTACTATTTTTGGTAAATAGGTTGGCTTTTAATATATATATAGATATAGATATATCACAATAACACAATCACATATTAAAATTAACAATTAAGTACCCAATTAACACATATAACAATTTAAATATGAACCCTAATAACGAGATATTTCCAAAGCCCGAAACACACGAAAAACGAAAAGGGAATCAAATTTCGGTACCGTTCTGAGAATCAGTACGCGAAAATGAATGAAACGATAGCCGAGATGGGTTGTTCGGAGGCCGGGAGCACGCTCGTCGGGGTCGACAATAACGGCTTTGCGGGGGTAAAGAAAAACAGCGGCCAGTTGGGGTTCTCGCCGGAGATGGTGACCTGCGGACGTCGACGGCGACTTCACGGTGAAGACGACGATCACGTGAGGGGCTGAGGGTGCCCGTCAGTGATTGGCACGACTGCAATAGGGCTCGTCGGGAGCAACTGGACGTCGGGAGGGATAGGGTTGTTCAACGTCCTTCTCGCCGGTGATTGAAGCTCGATGATGATGAAGGTGATGCGGGAGAAGAAGAGCGATGGAGGTCTTCTTTAGTGATGGCGATGAAGGATGGCGGGTCGTGGCGTTGGAGTTGCAGCCGCTGGCGCGTGTGTGCTCGCCGGGAAGGGACTGCTCGCTGGACAGCAACTGTTGGACGCGTCGGGCCTGCTGGAACTGATCGCCGATGGGAGCAGCAGGTGGATGATGGCCGTGCGAAGACGATGATGGTGGTACGATAGTTATGGGAGCGACAAAAATTTCTCTCTGTTCTTTGCGATCGATTCCTCCCCTTTGTTTTTTTTTTTAACTACTGCGATTGAGAGATTAGAGAAGAAGGGGAAGATGATAAACTGATGTGAGGCCGATGAATTTCCTCAGATATTTGAACTGCAAGGCGATATAATTAGAAGGGAACATCTCGCAGATAAAATCGCAACAAAATTTCGATCTGTTAGGAGGAGAAGACTCGGTCGCATATCGCGCGTAGGAGAAAGAAAAGGGCTGCTGGCCCAATACTTCTTGGGCTAAAAATTATAACATACGGGCCATGAGAAATTATGTACCAAGGCCGAAGATTTCATGATTATTGGGCCATTAAAATTAAATCCCAAATGGGCTAGAACCAACACATTATTTGGGCCGACAATGTTTATCAAACTGGGCCGACATTTTAATTATCCGAGTGGACCGAAAAGCATTCTCGATAGATTGGGCCGATTATTAAGACTCGCTCGAAAAGACGGCTCAAATACGATCTCGACGATAAATTAAATCGAATAATATATATATATAATACACACAATAATATTTTATAATAATAATAAGCATTTAAACACATAATCAAATTTGACAATTAGACAAATAATAATAATAATAATAATAATAATAATAATAATAATAATAATAATAATAATAATAATAATAATAATAGTATAATAATAATAATAATAATAATAATAATAATAATAATAATAATAATAATAATAATAATAATGAAATAAATAAATACACAAATAATCCCAAATATTTCACAAATAAACGGGGCATTACAGTCTACCCACCTTAAATGGAATTCCATCCTCGGAATTCAAAACTAAAAACATCCAAACTCTAACATATCACATCAAACATGAAGTTCGGATATCTCCTCCTAATCCGGGTTTCAGTCTCCCAGTCGCCTCGGACTTGTCGTGCCGGTTCCATTGCACCTCGACAAGATCGAATGCCCGGGTCCTCAGCTGATGAACCTTCCGGTCCAGTACGAACACCGGTACCTACTCATAGGTAAGGCCCCACTCGACCTGCAACTCGACAAAGTCCACTACGTGTTCGGGTCATACACTCCGACAACACATGCGGTAAAGCTAACCGGTAGGCCAAGTCTTGGACTCGTGCGAGATACTGAAAGAGTCCGATATAGCGAGGCCGAAGCTTCTCTTCTTCCCAAAGCGAATCACACTCCTCAGGGTGGGACCTTCAGGAAGACATTTATAACAACATCTATCCCACGGTGATTACATAGTCTCCAATCGAGACTCGAGACTCTGCTCGACAATGCAACACCTCAAATTTTTGCCGTCTCGAGGGACATCCCTCTTACGGCTAAGCAATAATCAACAAACTCACTTAATCGAGAATTAAGTGATATAGGGAATTCATACATTGGTTCAGTGGAACTTGGATCTTTCAGTTCAAGGTTCAGAAGAAAAAGTTCAAGGGGTTTCCCATCACATTCTGGTACAGAAACTGGTTGAACGGTTCAAAAATGAATCAACGGTATGGTCGATGCACTGTCCCCCGAGAGGTGGCACACTCGCTGGCGCTGCATAAGCGGGGCGCTGGGACGCGGGTGTGTACCTGTTCGGGGAGCAACTGCAGGGTCAAGGTTTGGCCGTACGTACTGGCATGATGAGTTTGGCGTCCGGTGATGGCGGCTGCAGCTCACGTGCGAGTCAACGGTCGGTCGTGCACTAGCCTTACGTCTCTCAGCACGGACATGCGTGCTCGGCCACCACTTCGCGTGGCTACACCCGCCCAGGGCCGGCTTTGGGTTCGAGGTCTTGAGAAGAACTTCACCAAATCAAAAGTAAACATTTTCAAGGTAATTGGGAGGAATAAGGGTTTTCCACAAAATTTCGAATGACAACAATTGAGGTTTAATCAATAACGATTTCCCCCAACAATAGGTATAGAACAACTACAACAATTTCAAGGGTTTCAAATTTTTAATAATGCATAAATCGAGTTCCAAGTTCACCACCTTCCCTGATCACTACAGGCTCCATCGAACAAACAACCATAGAGATCAGAAAAACTACCCAAAGAAACGAGGATTGGTTCCTCAGCCGGGAATAATGCCAAACACAGCGTTCACTACCGAATAATGAAACGCTTGGCTCATTCGACTCTTCCGACAAACAGTGTCGGCCATCACGTCAGCTCTTGCTCAAGTAGCTAACCGTGTCGGCAGTCCTAAATGAGCTTCAACGATTTCTAATATCAAAAGCGAAGACGGCCATGTACTTCACGATGTGCCTGCACCAGGCACGGCTACCCTCCTTTAAAAAAATTCTCAAAATCTTTTAAAGTGGAACAACACTTCTCGACTCCCCAACTTCATATTGAATTAGAAGCATCACAAAACATGATTTGTCATCTTACGAGGATAGATAAAAATCATCAAAGAATTAAAAAAATGCGTAACTCCATCAGAAATCTCATCACATGCAAAGGAGGAGAAGGCAAACAAAATTTCAAGGTACTGAAATTGATCAGAATCACAAACACAATTCAAAACTGTCTACCACGGGAAAGGAAAATAAATGGAAGTCTGCAAAGCTTCCGAGAAAGCAACAACTTAGGAAAAGAAAGAAAGACTGATGTGGCTACACGAGTCCATGATTAACTTCCTCCACAGTCGATTCAAGTCATCCCCAGTTAGTCCTGCTATCGATAATGGTCCTGGTCTGAAGACACTAAGCAGCACTTTTCAGCGAAAGAACTGCCAAAGCCTGAGCTTAATACGACATAATACTAATAAATATATATGCCACAATTCTAGAGTTCGCCAACAAATACTAGAGTTCATGCCAATCGAAGGTGGATAGATTTTCCTAAGCCCCAAGACATAACACATAGTTTAAATAAACAATCATCTCATAAATAATCTCAGCATTATTTATGACTTACATACCTCAAGCAGTGCGGCATGACGAAGACGAGTGGTCAATGCGTACACTCATATATTCATAAATGCACATAAATCAGGTTGAGGAGTCTAAAGAAACGCAGAGTGGCTCTGATACCAAACTGTAATGCCCCACTTTTTTTTTACGAAAGTCAAAGGCTTTTCAAAAAGTCAACTTAATTTTTTCTTTTTTTTTTTAAACCTTAACATAAATAAGTGGCGCTCCTCGAACTAAATCACATAATAACATAAATCACACTTGCATAATTCATAAATCGTAAATCCATTGTTTTCATAAATCACAGTTTCATCTAAATTTTTCATAAGGGAACATCTCCCAATTAGAAGTTCCAAGGTCATAAATAAGCATAAATAAATCCAAGTCTACTAGCATGCGGAATAAACTAAATGAAGTCAGTCAAAGACCAACACCACTCGTCTTTGTCTCGTCAGCCGGCACCTACTTAACCTGCATCAATGAAGAGCAGGTGGGAGTGAGCACGATGAACTGTTGTGCTCACCACTATGCACGTAAATAACCACATAATATAGCAAGGGTATGGTCACAGCATGATCATAAATTAATTCATCGTGTCACATCTCCAATCAATACACCAATAACCTCACTCATGTGCACATCTGTCATTAGCCATTGAAGGACATACAACTCTCAACAATGGGAGTGCATACCGAAGGACATACAGCTCTCAACGATATGGCCTATCATTAGGACTTAGGGAGATTGCCACACAAGGGCACCGTCGAAGGACATACAGCTCTCAACGATGGGGACAACCGTTCGAAGGACGTACAGCTCACAACGAAGGTTACACATATTCACATGCAAGCAGTGATCATACCAACCCAACAACAAATAAATTATTTACGGCATAGCAATTTAAATAAGACCCACCTGGACACCGAGATATAGCCAAACACAGGGTTGAAGGAATAATGGCAAAAGTTCAGCTCGATGAACCTACAACAATTATAATAGTCTATCAACTGACTATCCAATACAAGACAATGCGCAAAGCACATATATTTAGCCGAAATCATATCGGCTAAGTGACTCGTGGATTCCTTGACCGAGTTAAGTACTTTGGAGTGACTACTAGACCTGAACAAAACTCAAATACCTCAAGTAACACACATAAATCATGCCATCGTCAATAAAATTCAATCCGAACCTAGACAACGGATAACCGAGCATTAAGACTCCAAAATAAACAAAATTCAGAATTTGGAGTTAGACTCAACCAATCAACCTGAAACTTTACCACATCATAAGGCATACAAAAACACATAATCTCACCAAGTTTCAACCCTAAATTCATCCGGAAGAATTTTTAAATAATTTAAGCAAAAACAGTGTCAAAACCCTACATTAATAGTTCATATAGCTACACTTCGAATTTTAATCCAAACTTTTGACACAACAACGAATACCACAAAATAACATACTCCTCAAAATTTCAGCTCAAAACTCTAAGTGTATGATTTTTAATGAAGTTTACAAAATTCTGACCAGAAACGAATTTAATTAAATAAAATAGCTACAGATGGTGTTTCGACTTGAAAATGTTACAAGACTTACAAAACCATTACCGCAGATCACATATAAAATTTCACAGCATTCGGACAATCACACGATTTATCATGAATTAATTGCTATTCAGCAGCATGCTCGGTTTAGAAAATTCATAACTCGGCATATACACATCGAAACGACCCCAAACCAAAACCAATAACTCAAAGACAACTCCAAGTACCTATAACTCTAGGATTTCCACGAAAAATTCCACTCGAAACTTAGTTCGATAACAACCAAAGTGACGGCAATCACTTTGATATCCAAAACGCATATAAATTCATAATATGGCTCGATAAAAACACCCAAGGCACGTAATCAACTTCATAATTCATACGTTAAGCAATTAACATGTAATATATCACAATAACATAATCACATATTAAAATTAACAATTAAGTACTTAACATTTTAAATATGAACCCTAACAACGAGATATTTCCAAAGCCCGAAACACACGAAAAACAAAAAGGCAATCAAATTTCGATACCGTTCTCAGAATAAGTACGCGACAATGAATGAAACGATAGCCGATATGGGTTGTTCGGAGTCCAGGAGCACGCTCGTCAGGGTCGACAATAACGGCTTTGCGGGGGTAAAGAAAAACAGCGGCCAGTTGGGGAGCACGCTCGTCAGGGTCGCCGGAGATGGTGACCTGCGGACGACGACGGCGACTTCACGGTGAAGACGACGATTACGTGAGGGGCTGAGGGTGCCTGTCGGTGATTGGCGCGACTGGAATAGGTCGGGAGCAACTGGACGTCGGGAGGGATAGGGTTGTTCAACGTCCTTCTCGCCGGCGATTGAAGCTCGATGATGATGAAGGTGATGCGGGAGAAGAAGAGCGATGGAGGCCTTCTTTAGTGATGGAGATGGAGGATGGCGGGTCGTGGCATTGGAGTTGCAGCCGCTGGCCGCGTGTGTGCTCGCCGGGAAGGGACTGCTCGCTGGACAGCAACTGTTGGACGCGTCGGGCCTGCTGGAACTGATCGCTGATGGGAGCAGAAGGTGGATGATGGTCGTGCAAAGACGATGATGGTGGTATGATGGTTGTGGGAGCGACAAAGATTTCTCTCTGTTCTCCTCTATTGATTTCTCCCCTTTCTTTTTTTTTTTTTTTTAACTACTGCGATTGAGGGATTAGAGAAGAAGGGGAAGATGATAAACTGATGTGAGGCCGATGTATTTCCTCAGATATTTGAACTGCATGGCGATAGAATTAGAAGGGAACATCTCGCAGATAAAATCGCAACAAAATTTCGATCTGTTAGGAGGAGAATACTCGGTCGCATATCGCGCGTAGGAGAAAGAAAAGGGCTGCTGGCCCAATACTTTTTGGGCTAAAAATTATAACATACGGGCCATGAGAAATTATGTACCAAGGCCGAAGATTTCATGATTATTGGGCCATTCAAATTAAATCCCAAATGGACTAGAAACAACACATTATTTGGGCCGACAATGTTTATAGAATTGGGTCGAGATTTTAATTATCCGAGTGGACCGAAAAGCATTCTCGATAGATTGGGCCGATTATTAAGACTCACTCGGAAAGACGGCTCAAATACGATCTCGACGATAAATTAAACCGAATAATATATATATATAATACACACAATAATATTTTATAATAATAATAAGCATTTAAACACATAATCAAATTTGACAATTAGACAAATAATAATAATAATAATAATAATAATAATAATAATAATAATAATATAATAACAATAATAATGAAATAAATAAATAAACAAATAATCCCAAATATTTCACAAATAAACGGGGCATTACACTAAAGTTCACGCCGTAGGAGTCGAGGGTTTTTCTCGAGGCACAGATGAAGCCTTGGAGTTCAGGGGCAGGATCGTAGTGCCGAAAGTTGAGGCTTTGCAGAAGGAGATCTTGACAGAGGCACACACTGCGCCTTATTTAGCTTACCCCGGCAGCACGAAGATGTACCACAACTTGAAAAAGTCGTTTTGGTGGCGGGGAATTAAGAATGACGTAGCCAATTTCGTAAAGAAGTGTTTGGTCTGCCAGCAAGTTAAGGCAGAGCACAAGAGTCCGTTGGGCCTTCTACAGCCACTTGAGATTCCTAAATGGAAGTGGGAGGAAGTCACGATGGATTTCGTTACGGGGCTACCCAGGTCGTCCGAGCATCACGACGCGATTTGTGTAGTAGTGGACAGATTGACGAAAGTCGCACATTTCCTACCTGTGATGATGACCATGTCGATGGAGAAGTTTGCCGAGATTTATACACATGGGATCGTTCGACTCCACGGAATGGCCATTCATATTGTGTCAGATCGAGATCCCAGATTCACCAGCAGGTTCTGGGAGAGTTTACACAAGGCGATGGGCACGCAGTTACAGTTCAGTTTGGCTTACCATCTAGAGACAGACGGTCAATCAGAGAAGACCATCCAGACGCTCGAGGATATGCTTCGAGCTTTAGTCCTAGACAGAGGTGCCAAGTGGGAGTCAATTTTATCGTTAGTTGAGTTCGCCTATAACAACAGTTATCCAGTGTCGATCCAGATGGCTCCATACGAAGCACTTTACGGGCGTAAATGTCGCTCACCTCTTTATTGGGACGATGTAGGCGAACGTCAGGTACTCGGTCCGAAGATGATCGATGAAACAATTGAGTAGGTTGAGTTGATCAGACAGAGGCTTAAGACAGCACAGAGTCGGCAGAAGTCATCAATCGAAAAACACAGACGGGATATCCAGTTTGAGGTCAGAGAACGAGCCTTTCTGAGAGATCGACCATTCCGCGGGATCATTCGATTTGGGAAGAGAGGGAAATGACATCCCCGATTCATCGGCCCGTTCGAAGTTCTCGAGCGAGTGGGCGAAGTAGCCTATCGTTTAGCTTTGCCTCTTGAGTTATCCAATGTTCATAACATTTTCCATGTATCTATGTTACGGAAATACGTGTGCGATCCAGATCATGTTCTTCAGCATAGCGAGATTCAGCTTCAGCCAGATTTATCTTACGAGGAACGACCGCTAGCAGTTTTGGTCCGGAAGGTTCGATGGCT